AAGGGGAAAAGAAGAGGAAAAGTGAGAAAACCTATGAGTGGAGGTTAACATAGTTCACAAGGAGGCCAGAGGAGACCATCATTCACACCCCCTCCCTGTGGGGAGACGGATGCCCAACCAGTTCATGAACAAAATCTGACCAACGTCCACCCCCAAACCCCCTCCTCACCATTTTAATGCTGAGCACAAAACGCTCGGGGTTTAACTCCCACATGAGAACTCACCATTGTGGACAGCTAACTGATGCCTCCTGAGGTGATAACGCCGCCGGAAGTTCTTCCCGCAGTGGGAGCAGGCGTACGGTCTCTCTCCCGTGTGGGTGCGTTGGTGTTTGATGAGGTACGAGCGCCAGGAGAAGCGTTTCCCACACGTGGGGCAGACAAAGGGCTTCTCCTTGGTGTGTGTCCTCCAGTGACGCAGAAGTCTCCCACTTTCCCTGAAGCTCTTCCCACAGTCCCGGCACTTGAAGGGCCTCTCTCCAGTGTGGATGCGTTGGTGACGTCTCAGGTTGCTCCCACAGGTGAAGATCTTCCCACAGTCCTCGCACTCGTAAATCTTCTCTCTGGAGCTACTCTGTGCCTGGGTTCTGAATTCTTGAAGGTCTTCAGCACATGTCATGAGGAAAGACCATTTATTGCGGTTATCTTGGTACTTTCTCCTTTCTCTTCCTCTTCCATCTCTGCCCTACCACTATACCTACTCCTTTTTCACTCTGCACCAGCACCCACCCTTGGTCCCCACTTTCCTCCCCGCCTCTAACTGCCCACACACCCCGCAAGGGCCGGGGATGGAGATGGGGCAGGTCGGGATGGGGCAGGGTTGGGCTCTTGGCTGCTCCCAACCACTGTGTGGGAACCCGGGAAGGAGGAAAGTAACAAAACCTGTGGGTGGAGGTAAATATAATTCAGGAGGCCAGAGGAGGCCATCACTCACCCCTGCCCGTGGGGAGATGGATGCCCAGCTGGTTCAACACAAAAACCTGGCAGATCCCTGTACCCAAAATCCCTCCTCGCCATTTTGTTGCTGAGCAGACTGTGATATGGGGTTAAGCCCCCCCTCGGACTCACCACGGTGGACCGCCCTCTGATGCTTCCTGAGGTCATTACTTTGACGGAAAGTCATCTCGCAGTGCGAGCAGGGGTAGGGTCTCTCTCCCGTGTGGATCAGTCGGTGGGCGTTGAGGTACGAGCGCCAGGAGAAGCGCTTCCCACACGTGGTGCAGAGATACGGCTTCTCCTTGGTGTGTGTCCTCTGGTGACTCAGGAGGTACCCGCTCAGCGTGAAGCTCTTCCCACAGTCCTGGCACTTGTAGGGCTTCTCTCCCGTGTGGATGCGTCGGTGTCGGTTCAGGTGTCTCCTGCTGGTGAAGAGCTTCCCACAGTCCTCACACTTGTGCTCCTTCTCTCTGGAGCTACTCAGTGGTTGGCTTGCACCTTCCTGAAGTTCTTCACCGTACATTCCTTCGAAAGAGTATTTTTGGGGTTCTCTGGGTATTTTACTCCCTCACGTATCACCCTGCGCCACAGAGCAGGGCCCGACACACCCAGCCCCACCCCTGCAGATGACCCCAGACCCGCTCACACCAGTCCCCCCAGGAGCCAGCGCTAGGGGCCACAAAGAGCTCAGACAGAGATTGAATAACGACGACAGGACCAACGGCGATGGCCGAGGCACACAAGGAGCCCTTGTGCTGCGCTGCCAGCCCCTTCTACAGCCTTTCCTTGGGTGCCCCCCCCTTTTCTGCCCCTGACCCCTTCCCCTGCTCATCGCCTCCTCCGTACGCACAGTCCCCCCCCCAGTGCTGCATCCTCAGCAGCTGCAAAGCTGTGGTAGAGCTTCCACCTGCTACTGGTCACAAATACACCCTGTCAGTGCCATCAGAGAAGTTTTTCTCTGGTTAATGTCTTTGCTAACTGTAATTGGACAGGTTTAACGTTCTTGATGGCCTTGCCCATTAGGCCAGAGGGCACCTGAGCCCCACCCAGACCCTCCCTCGCCCCTTCCTCCTCAGGGGGAGGACTCCTCACACTCCTCCCCTGCTCCGCCGGGGGCTCCCTCCCACGGGAGACAGTCCTCCACGATCTTCCTCCCACCTGGGTCCCTCCCAGGGGCTCTGGGGGGGCATCTGCTCCCCCGTGGGGCTCGACAGGTGCAGGGCAGTCTCTGCTCAGAGCTCCTCCCGCCTCCTGCCGTCCTTCCTCGTCCTTCCTCACCCTCGCTGTTTGCAGAGGTATTTCCCTCCCCGCTGTGGTGCAGAAGTGTTCATGCCAATGGGGTGCAAGTGCTCAGATGCCCATGGCCCTAGTCTGTGTCTGTCCTCTGCCTGCCCCTGCTCGTCCTCCATCCCTCCTGTTCCTCAGTATTTACTTCTCCTCCATTCCTCGTTCCCCAATCTGGACAGTGCCCACCCTTGGTCCCCACATTCACAGCCCCTCTAACCCCAACCCACCCCTCAGTAGGGCTCGGGATGTAGATGGGGCAGGGTTGGGCTGTTGGCTGCTTCCACTCACTGTGGGTGAAACCAGGAAGGGGAAAAGAAGAGGAAAAAAAGATAAAACCTGTGGGTGGAGGTAAAAATAATTTCACAGTAGAAGACAGGAGGAGACGGAAGGAGGCCGCAGGAGGCCATCACCAACCACTTCTCATGGGGGCATGGATGCCCAGCCAGTTCCTGACTAATATCTCTCACCCCCCTGCGCATCATCTCATTTTTATTTCTGAGCACGGCCTGATTAGCCTCACCCAGGACTCACCATGGTGGAGGGTTTGCTGATGCTTCGTGAGCTGGTCACTCTGCCGGAAGGTCAATCCGCAGTGGGAGCAGACGTACGGTCTCTCTTCTGTGTGCATGCGTTGGTGAGCAATGAGGTTCGAGCGCCAGGTGAAGCATCTGCCACAGGTGGCACAGACAAAGGGCTTCTCCTTGGTGTGTGTCCTCTGGTGACACAGGAGTCTCCCACTCTCCGTGAAGCTCTTCCCACAATCCAGGCACTTGAATGGCTTCTCTCCCGTGTGGATCCGTCGGTGACGGGTCAGGTTGCTCCCGCAGGCAAAGACCTTCCCACAGTCCTTACACTTGTACTCCTTGCCTCTGGAGCTGCCCCGTGGTTGGGTTCTGGCTTCTTGTGGGTCTTCAGCGTACGTCCCTTTGAAAGAGCGCTTTCGTCGTGCTCTTGTTCCGTGGCTCCCTTGCGTATCACGGGGCTGCTGTTGGCCATCGTGCTCCACGGCCACCGTGGGGCTCTGGGGCTCCTCTTGGGGCCCTTGCAGCATCCCCCTCTGCTCTTCCCTGGGCTGGCACTGCTCCTCCTTCTGCTCCTCTGTCCCAGCGCCTGTGGGGGGCCAAAGGGGCTCAGCTGGGGGCTCTTAAGGCACATGAAGAGCA